TATTACGGTTGTAATGGGGCTAAAGGTGATAGGCTAATGAAAGAAAGGATATGGAAATAAATTTTTTTGAGAAAGTACACTTTAGTAGTTTTCCAACACCTCAATATCACACCACCTCAAATTGAAAGCAAAATAATAAAACCTCGAGCACTTGCTACTCCCCAAATTCAACTTCAAAAGGAAATTTATACTCCGCAGACACATTTTCAACAAATCAACACTCTCCAATTTTCTCTTTTTTTTTTTTTTTTTGGAAAGAAACAAATCTGCAAAGCTATGCATAAATCTGCAAAAGCTACATCACCCATCAAATTCACATTTCATTGTAATACACATCTCCATCCATCTTTCCACATAAATGAAACCCCAAGAGCACAACCCATGTCATACTTTCTTAAAACAATAAGGAATCGATTTCTTTGTATGGGCTCAACTCCAATATTGGAGCATGGTAAAGAGATGTCGCTAACAAAGAAATGGCTTAGTTAAAGACTCAACAGGCTACCATGGACACACATAGCATATAAGGTAGGCATGAAAGGCTCAAACAATCCAAAGATGGCCTATATCACTTCCAAGTTATTACATGAATTGATGAATGAGACGCCAAATATAAAGCAAGTTCTAGAGATACATGTACAGTGAGATCATATGCACAAGAAGGAATGAGATTGATGCATAATGGTTCAATCATGTATAGGCTCAAAAACTCACAAGGTTTACATAATCTCACATGATTCATATATTAAGTAATTATCAACGTGAATAACCAACTGTCTATTTGAATTTGAGCCATTGGTTAACCAAAAGAGCCGTTGGTCTCTGTTTTCTTGGCTGACATGTGGGCGGCACACCTACATGGGTAGGGTTGCACTTTGCAGCATTGATGGTGGGCTGTAGCGCGTTCCTCATGTGGCATGCGTGAATTTGGGCGCTTGTTGTCCAACTTCCTGTCTTCCACTTGCACATGGGCTTTCCCACTAATCCAAACTCAAAAGTTGGCCGGAATTTGGCCCATTTTTGAGTTTTAACCCAAAACCGAAAATTGGCCTAAGGGTTAGAATGAAATTGTTTGGGGAGGGGGGGGGGGAGGGGAATAGAAGCTTAATTTTGAGACTTACTCTAAGAGTTAGAGTTGGTCTAAATGTCAAATTCTGTTTTTAATATAAAACAATATATATATATATATATATAATTATACAATGGGCAAATTATAATAGATTGATATTAAACTTATTATTTACGAAAATCAAATATAATACGTCTTACTTATAAGTAAAAAAAAATATCACTAAACTAAAATAGTCAAAATTACGGACATTTACATAGTCGAGCACTAATATTGAAAATAAAAGTAAAACACAAAGACCAAAAATATAATTTTTTTGAAAAGCCTATTCATATAGGCAGATAATAGTCTTTCCTTTTTCTTGGTAAAAAAAAAAAACCAAGAAATCCAATTGGCAGGTGTGAGCTCACCCAAACCCAAAAAGCCCATAACGAAACCGTCGGGTTATCGTATCACATCACTGTCCTAAGAGCAAGTCCATCGGGGCTTGCTTTGCCCAGCCCCCAGCACAAAAAATAACCTGGCCCTCAGTCAAATTGCTCCAGCCCACAAAGTTGCTTGGCACCCAGCCCATGTGTCACAGCCCGTCCCGGAATTTTAATTCCGAGGACGTGAAAGTACTAAATTATCCCTAAACGGGATTAAGGTGCGTATTTGTACGATAATTGTTTTACCAAAAATTCTACACTGTGTTATTTTATTTTGTATTTGGACTTAGGTAGGGTCCTACCTCCCGAATTCCTTCCCCATTTCCCGTTTTGTGGTCTCCTTCTCTCTCTCTTCCTCATCCCTCAGTCACTCTCACACTCCCTCAGAAACACTCTCTCTCTCTTACTCTCATTCTCTCTCAAACTCTCGGACAAACACCAAGATCAACCATAAACGTGCACCAACGTCCAATCTAAGAGCACTATCGTGATCTTGGGAACTTCACGATCACGGAGGTATAAGTTTTAGGTAAGTTCTATTTCAAAAACCCTAGTTTTAAAACATCCCGTGTAATGGCACTATTCACAAAACTTAAATATGGTTGTGTTTTAGGTTAAACAAAGATCACCACGAGTCTTAGGAAGTTCCAAGGAGGCTCGGAGTGCCTCGTTTGAACAAAATGGACGTCGGGATCGTCGGGTTCGAGTTTGGCCGAAATTGAAGAATTTTGAAAGGTTTGATCTTGTTGTTTTTAGGCCTTAAAACCCTTCCAACGTGATTGTACATGTTAAATGCTTCATTTTGGTATAAATTACGTGAAAAATGGACGAAAAACGAAGGAGAAAAGTCGATTTGAAAATTTTCCAGAAACCGGCGACTCGCCGGAGAAGACAGAGAATATTCCGTCAAAACTGACGGAATATTCCAACGCCGTTACCGTTACCGTTGGATACTTAACGGAATATTCCAGGAATATCCCTAACGCCGTTCACTGTACCGTCAGTGTGCCTGGCACGTGGCCGCGCGTGGGGGGCGCGTAGGTCCGTGCCACGTCAGGCGCGTGGGGGCGCGTGGGACCTCCAAAAATTATTTTAAAAATTTGGGGATGATCCTGAGGTTGTGTAGGTCACGGTGGTATATTCATATACCCAATTTGAGCAACATATGAAGAATTTATTACCTAGTTTGGTTTAGGTGCGTTAAATGTGCGTTAAATGATTGTTTTAAGTTATTTCACTTCTAGGTGGAACCTTTAACGAGGACGAGCACATCCAGGGGCGTCAAGGGGGTTACGACCCGGCGACATACCAGTGAGTGGGCATTGCTTTCTATATATATACCTATATACTCGATTTCCCCAGAAATCAAATTTAAATGAAAAGTATAGTGAAATGAAATGAAATATGATTTGATTGCCATGCATAGAATGTTATGGATATTATGAACTGTCGTATGATGCATATATGTATGATGGTGCTGTGGAAGCACAGGTAAGTATTTAATTAATATTATGATGATGATGATGATATATTGAGCTCATATCCTGCACCATGGTTTAGTGCTTATAGTATTCACCGCATCGCACGCTCGCCTTGGATCCAAGTAGATGTTGGTCGTACAGTCCACGCGGAGTGGGTACGACGGGCCAGTCGTAGAGTGTTAGTGAGATTATGACTGGTGGGTGACCTTAGGTTATTGTATACAGATGATTGATGAGAGAAGCACTAGAGCGAATATTACCATAAGTCGTTCAGATTGCATTAGGTGGTTCCGACTTATGTGCAGAAGGCCGGACAGGTCACGCGGAGTGACTCCGGCAGAGTGAGATTGATAGATGTTGAGCTCTAGGTTTAATCGTTCAGGGCTATTAGAGGGCCTCCGATTGATTATTTGTTTTACCTGATTATTATGTTAATGCATTCATACTAAACTGTTGAAATTGGCATGGTACATTCTTTATTGAATCTGTTATAAGATTGATGATCGAGACAGTGGAGACATATATGCTATATACTATTTTTCTGGGAAAGTATACAGGTTTTCCAAAAAGGGGTTATAAATGTGGACTCATGAAATGTTTTAGAAAAGCTTTATTTTCGCCCACTCACGTTTTCTGTTTTTCGCCCCTCCAGGTTCTAGTTGATAGTTGAGGCGTTGATGGCCTACGAGGACTGCTTCGGCGTTCTGACAGAATAAATAAATGTAGGATTTCACCCGAGGGTGTTGTAAAATAACTATGTTCCTACTTGACTGCACCTAGATGCTTATGCTCTGTTTATGTGTGTTTAGTACACTCTTATGCACATAGAATGCTAGGTTGTAAATAACTGCAATTAGTGGTTTTCGTTGACTCGTATTTTATTATTAAATCATTTCCGCTTGCGTTATGGTTACGTCACGCTCACGTGACGGCCAGCACGTCCTAGTCTTCGGGTTAGGGTGTGTCAGTTTGGTATCAGAGCATAGGTTGCAGTCCTGTATAACTAATGAGTTCTTTTATTGATTTTTGGATGTTTTCTGTCAGAATTATGCCGCCTCGTAGAGATCATCGCCGTGCTGCTGAGCCTAATTTCCCCGATATAACTCAGTTAGGGGCAGCAATGGCTCAAGCTTTTCAGGCTAATATCCGTCCTCCTCAGAGAACACCCGTAGAGACGATGTATAATCTGAAATTGGAAACCTTTGAGGGAAATGAAGGTTATGAGGGGGCAGAAAAGTGGTTGGATCGGATTGAGCAGACCTTTCAAGTGATGCAAAGTCAAGGAAACCTGCCAGCTAATAGATGGGTGGAGACCACCACCTGGTTTTTGGGCCGTGAGCCAGCGGCATGGTGGATAAATCAGTCGAGGCACATGGCACCTGAAAGGACAGCCGAATGGAAGTATTTAAGGAAAATTTTATGAAGAGATTTGTTCCTCCGGAATATATAGATCGCAAGAAACAGGAATTCACCAGTCTGAAGCAGAGAAATATGTCTGCACATGAGTACTACAGGAAGTTTACTGATTTATCCCGTTATGATTCTGATTTAGCGAGTAATCAATCAGAAATGCTTCGTCGTTTCAAGCTAGGATCTAAGAAGAGGTACAGAACGTTTGCCAATGCACTTCCCTGTGCCGATTATCATGAGTATTTTGAGATTCTGGTTCGGATGGAAGACTCTGATAATCTTCTGGACAGTGAGGATGAAGAGGATAAGGGTAATGGTCAGAAGAAAAATGAGAAAGGTAAAGGTGTTTCCATTCCAGGACCTCGTCAGATGCAGAATTTCAAGAAAAGTGGAATGAGTTCGAGTTCTTCCAGTGGTGGATTTAGTGCCACAGGTCCGAGGAGATGAGGTGGTAGGTTTGGTAATGGACCTAGATTTTCTGGTCAGAGAGGCTTTGGTAGTACTGGTAGTTCGGGTCCTCCGTTATGTCGCTGTTGTAATTTCCGACATCATGGGGAATGTAGGAGAAGCAGTGGTGCATGCTTTACATGTGGTCAGACAGGACATAGAGCTATGAATTGTCCCCAGAATCAGCAGAGACCCCAACAGCCTGTTATGCCAACACCAGCACCGACTCAACAGAACTTTAATTCAGGCAGTTATGGCCAGAGTGGTTGTGGTGGTGCTTATCACTATCAGGGTGATGCTGCTCCTTATGCTCCGGGACAGTATCATTATTCCCAGGATCCTTATTCTCAGAGTGGATATTCTCAGGATCAGGGAGGTTATACTTCATATCCGTCTATGCCAGCTAGCGGATCTCAGTGGTATCAGGGGGGTCAGCCCCAACAGAGCGGAGTTGCTGCTAGTAGTGCAGGGTCGTTTAGGCCGCCTGCTCAGGCAGGTCAAGGACGTACTCATCAGGGACGAGGTAACCAGAGTGGCAGAGGTCGTGGAGGACGACAGCCAGCTCAGGGACGTGTTAACCACATCTCGCTGCAAGATGCTCAGAACCATCCAGACTTGATTATGGGTACGTTGAATGTTCTTGGTCATTTTGCTAGAGTTTTGATTGATTGTGGTGCTACACACTCTGTGATTTCTCATACATTTGCTCAAATGACGCAACCTCATCCTTCACCTCTAGGGTTTGATTTAGAGTTTGCTATGCCTAGAGGGGATAAATGTTATGTTGATAGTTTTTACTCTGGGTGTCCAGTGATGGTAGATAATGTAATTATGCCTGCTAATCTTATCCCGTTAGACATCGTGGATTTTGATGTGATTTTAGGGGCGGATTGGTTGCATTATAATCGCGCCCATATAGATTGTTACGGGAAATCAGTTACTTTTCTTCGTCCTGGACTACATGAGGTTACTTTTGTGGGTGAAGGAAGTGGAGTGAGGCATGGTGTTATTTCAGCCATAAGGGCAAAGAAGTTGTTATCCAAGGGTTGTCAGGGATACTTGGCACATGTGGTGTTGAATGATGTTGATTCCGGTAGTGTGGAGGAAGTCGGAGTAGTCAGACACTATCCTGATGTATTTCCAGATGATTTGCCTGGATTGCCTCCAGATAGAGATGTGGAATTTTCGATTGAATTGCTTCCAGGTACGAACCCTATCTCTTTAACTCCTTATAGAATGGCACCAGCGGAATTAAGAGAGTTGAAAATTCAATTGCAAGAGTTGATTGATAAAGGTTTCATTCAACCTAGTTCTTCACCTTGGGGAGCTCCGGTGTTGTTTGTAAGAAAGAAAGATGGAACTTTGAGATTGTGCATTGACTACAGGCAATTGAATCGGGTGACGATTAAAAACCGTTATCCATTGCCTCGTATAGATGATTTGTTTGATCAGCTCAAAGGTGCTTGTGTGTTTTCTAAGATTGATTTGAGATCTGGGTATTATCAACTAAAGATTAAAGATGAGGATGTTCATAAAACAGCTTTCAGGACTCGTTATGGGCATTATGAGTTTTTGGTGATGCCATTTGGATTAACGAACGCTCCTGCAGCTTTCATGAGATTGATGAATGAAGTATTCCAGGAATATTTAGACATGTTTGTTATTGTTTTTATTGATGACATCCTGGTATATTCTAAGTCGAAATCAGACCATATTCGACATCTTAACTTGGTGTTAAGGAAATTGAGGGAACACCGGTTATATGCCAAATTTAGTAAATGTCAATTTTGGCTGGATCAAGTGGCATTTTTGGGACATGTAGTATCAGCTCAAGGAATTCAAGTGGATCCTCAAAAGATAGCAGCAGTGGAAAGTTGGGAACAACCTCGAACGGTCACTGAGGTGCGGAGTTTTCTTGGTTGGGCAGGTTATTATAGACGGTTTGTTCAAGACTTCTCTATAATTGCCTTGCCATTAACGAAGTTAACCAGGAAGGATGTTAAGTTTGAATGGGATGAAAGTTGTGAGCAAAGTTTCCAGCAGTTGAAGTATTGCCTTACTCATGCACCTGTGTTAGTACTTCCTGATGATAATGGTAACTTCGAGATCTACAGTGATGCTTCTTTGAATGGTTTGGGTTGTGTTTTGATGCAGCATAGTAGAGTGATTGCCTATGCTTCTAGGCAGTTGAAGACTCATGAAAGAAACTATCCGACTCACGATCTTGAGTTGGCAGCTATTGTGTTTGCTTTGAAGATTTGGAGACATTATCTCTATGGCGAGAAATGTAAGATCTTTACAGATCATAAAAGACTTCAGTACCTTTTCACTCAGCATGATCTTAATCTTCGTCAGAGAAGATGGTTGGAATTGTTAAGTGATTATGAATGCACGATTGAGTACCATCCGGGTCGTGCAAATGTGGTAGCTGATGCTCTGAGTAGAAAACCTCAAGGGAGACTTAATGCTTTGTATGCCAGTCGTGTTCCTCTTCTGGCAGAGTTGAGATCTACTGGAGTAGAGTTAGAATTGGAAGAACAAAGTAAAGCTTTTCTTGCCAATTTTCAAGTCAAGCCAGTCTTAATTGATCGGGTACTTACAGCTCAATCGTTGGATGAAGAAATTCAAGAATTGATCAGTTTAAGAAATGAAGGAAAGAAGAAAGATCTCAGGATCCGAGGATCAGATGGTATGCTTATGCAAGAGAACAGGATGTATGTACCTAATAATGAGGAACTGAAGAAAGAAATCTTAGATGAAGCACATTGTTCGGCTTATGCTATGCACCCAGGAGGAACTAAAATGTATCATACCATTCGACCATTCTACTATTGGCCGGGTATGAAGAGGGAGATTGCGGAGTATGTTAGTAGGTGTATTGTCTGCCAGCAGGTTAAGGCTGAAAGAAAGAAGCCATTTGGGAGATTGCAACCACTTCCCGTTCCCCAGTGGAAATGGGAGAATATAACGATGGATTTTGTGTATAAGTTGCCGCGTACACAAAATGGTTTTGATGGCATTTGGGTGGTTGTAGATCGACTTACCAAATCAGCACATTTTATTCCAGTAAGGGAGAAGTACTCTTTAAATAAGTTGGCTCAGTTATTCATATCGAAGGTTGTAAAGTATCATGGTGTCCCAGTGAATATTATTTCTGATCGAGATCCAAGATTTACTTCTAAGTTTTGGACAGCTTTTCAAGAAGCTTTGGGTACTAGATTGCTTTACAGTACAGCTTATCATCCACAGACTGATGGTCAGTCAGAGAGAACTATTCAGACACTCGAGGATATGTTGAGATCCTCTGTGATGCAATTTGGTGATTCTTGGCATGATCGCTTGGATTTGATGGAGTTTGCCTATAATAATAGTTTTCATTCGAGTATTGGAATGTCTCCATTTGAAGCACTTTATGGTAAAGCTTGTCGTACGCCATTATGTTGGTCAGAGGTCGGTGAAAGAATACTTGAGGGCCCAGAGATTGTGGATGAGACTACTCAGAATGTTCAGGTAATTAAATCTAACCTGAAAGTGGCCCAGGATAGACAAAAGAGCCTAGCGGATAGACATACCACAGATAGAATGTATAATGTGGGCGACTATGTTTTTCTGAAATTATCACCTTGGAGAGGTGTGGTTCGCTTTGGGAAGAAAGGAAAGCTAAGTCCCAGGTACATTGGACCTTATGAGATTACTGAGAGGATTGGTGAAGTTGCTTACAGGTTGGAGCTACCTCCAGAGTTGTCTAAGGTACATAATGTGTTCCATGTCTCGATGCTTCGACATTATGTGTCAGATCCTTCACATGTGATTCCTCCTCAACCATTGGAAATTAATCCGGACTTGACGTACGATGAGGAACCAGTGACTATTCTGGATTGGAAAGATAAGACCTTGAGGAATAAGACCGTGAGCTTGGTAAAAGTATTGTGGAGGAACCATTCAGCGGAAGAAGCTACTTGGGAGACAGAAGAAAGGATGAGAGATATGTATCCGAGACTATTCTATGAGTTTTGATGTTATGGTTGGTGACTGGAATTTCGGGGACGAAATTCTATAAGGAGGGGAGATTGTCACAGCCCGTCCCGGAATTTTAATTCCGAGGACGTGAAAGTACTAAATTATCCCTAAACGGGATTAAGGTGCGTATTTGTACGATAATTGTTTTACCAAAAATTCTACACTGTGTTATTTTATTTTGTATTTGGACTTAGGTAGGGTCCTACCTCCCGAATTCCTTCCCCATTTCCCGTTTTGTGGTCTCCTTCTCTCTCTCTTCCTCATCCCTCAGTCACTCTCACACTCCCTCAGAAACACTCTCTCTCTCTTACTCTCATTCTCTCTCAAACTCTCGGACAAACACCAAGATCAACCATAAACGTGCACCAACGTCCAATCTAAGAGCACTATCGTGATCTTGGGAACTTCACGATCACGGAGGTATAAGTTTTAGGTAAGTTCTATTTCAAAAACCCTAGTTTTAAAACATCCCGTGTAATGGCACTATTCACAAACTTAAATATGGTTGTGTTTTAGGTTAAACAAAGATCACCACGAGTCTTAGGAAGTTCCAAGGAGGCTCGGAGTGCCTCGTTTGAACAAAATGGACGTCGGGATCGTCGGGTTCGAGTTTGGCCGAAATTGAAGAATTTTGAAAGGTTTGATCTTGTTGTTTTTAGGCCTTAAAACCCTTCCAACGTGATTGTACATGTTAAATGCTTCATTTTGGTATAAATTACGTGAAAAATGGACGAAAAACGAAGGAGAAAAGTCGATTTGAAAATTTTCCAGAAACCGGCGACTCGCCGGAGAAGACAGAGAATATTCCGTCAAAACTGACGGAATATTCCAACGCCGTTACCGTTACCGTTGGATACTTAACGGAATATTCCAGGAATATCCCTAACGCCGTTCACTGTACCGTCAGTGTGCCTGGCACGTGGCCGCGCGTGGGGGGCGCATAGGTCCGTGCCACGTCAGGCGCGTGGGGGCGCGTGGGACCTCCAAAAATTATTTTAAAAATTTGGGGATGATCCTGAGGTTGTGTAGGTCACGGTGGTATATTCATATATACCCAATTTGAGCAACATATGAAGAATTTATTACCTAGTTTGGTTTAGGTGCGTTAAATGTGCGTTAAATGATTGTTTTAAGTTATTTCACTTCTAGGTGGAACCTTTAACGAGGACGAGCACATCCAGGGGCGTCAAGGGGGTTACGACCCGGCGACATACCAGTGAGTGGGCATTGCTTTCTATATATATACTTATATACTCGATTTCCCCAGAAATCAAATTTAAATGAAAAGTATAGTGAAATGAAATGAAATATGATTTGATTGCCATGCATAGAATGTTATGGATATTATGAACTGTCGTATGATGCATATATGTATGATGGTGCTGTGGAAGCACAGGTAAGTATTTAATTAATATTATGATGATGATGATGATATATTGAGCTCATATCCTGCACCATGGTTTAGTGCTTATAGTATTCACCGCATCGCACGCTCGCCTTGGATCCAAGTAGATGCTGGTCGTACAGTCCACGCGGAGTGGGTACGACGGGCCAGTCGTAGAGTGTTAGTGAGATTATGACTGGTGGGTGACCTTAGGTTATTGTATACAGATGATTGATGAGAGAAGCACTAGAGCGAATATTACCATGAGTCGTTCAGACTGCATTAGGTGGTTCCGACTTATGTGCAGAAGGCCGGACAGGTCACGCGGAGTGACTCCGGCAGAGTGAGATTGATAGATGTTGAGCTCTAGGTTCAATCGTTCAGGGCTATTAGAGGGCCTCCGATTGATTATTTGTTTTA